ACTACGACCAGTGAATTCGAGCTCCGCCCCCTCCAGAGCAGCAGCAGCAGCAGCAGCAGAACGCAGCAGCCCCAGAGGAAGCGCCAAAGTCACTGAGCCGCTGCTGTCAGCAACTCGAAACAGCAGCTTGTGCTGCTGCACTCCCCGCAGCGAGGGGTCTCGTTCTGCTGCTGCAACAATGCACAGCAGCGAGAGGCCTTGCTGCTGCGGGCCCAGGCTGCCGATGCACACTCTGCTGCTGCTGCTGCTGCTGCTCTTCAGAGGCACGCCTGCAGCAGCAGCTGCTGCTGCAGCAACCGCCGCGGCGGCATGCATTGCGCCTGAGCAGCAGCGTCGCGGCAGCAGGAAACAGCAGCAGGAAACAGCAGCAGCAGCAGCAGCCGCTGCTGCTGCTCGTGGAGGTTTGATCCCTTTTATATCTTCTGAGGGATGGAGCGCGATCAAAAGAGCAGTAGTAGCAGCAGCAGCAGCAGCAGCTAGAGCAGCAGCAGCGGCAGCAGCGGAAGCAGCAGCAGCAGGTTAGACGCTTGGACTTCAAATCTGGGCCCTAAATTTGGATCGAATTGAGAGATATATTTGGGGAAAAGCATTAAGTGCAGCAGCAGCAAAACTGTAACAGCAGCTGCAGCAGCTGCAGCAGCAGCTGCTGCTGCTGCGGCTGCTGCTGAGGCGGCGGCGGGGGCCCCCAGCTGCAGCTGCTTCAGCAACAGGATCTGTTGAGCAGCGAAAGAAGAGGGGAATAGCATTTAGTATTAAAATTTAAAAGTAGAAAATGTCAACACTGCTGCTCAAACCCCAAACCCCAGACCCTAAACCCTAAACCCTAAACCCTTGTGTGGCTGGCAGGAGGGGGGCCCCTGGACTTAGCCGCCAAACCCTCGAAAATGACGGCGCCGGGGCCCTCTGTAGCTTCTTCGCGGAGGCAATATGAGGTGATTCAGAAGGGTTTAGGGTTCAGGGTTTAGGGTTTAGGGTTTAGGGTTTAGGGTTGAGGGTTTGAGCCGGTGACCGCTGGCTCAGCCGGTCTAGGGTTTGTGTCTCACTGCAGTTTGAGGGTTTCTCGTGCTGTCTTTCCCCACACTTCAAGCCCCCGCTGCGTCCTTGCAGAGGCCGAGGGTTTAGGGTTTAGGGTTTAGGGTTTGTGGCTCAGGCTTGCTGCAGCTCCGCCGTGAAGCAAATGACGGACGCCCTCAAAACCTCCAGCAGAATTCTGGAGAGCGCATGCATGCAGTATGGAGCTGCTGCTAGCTGCTGCTCCTCAGCGCTAAACCCTAGCCTAAACCCTAGCGTAAACCCTAGCCTAAACCCTAGCTCGTTTTCCAGGCCCTTCGGGCCCTTCGGGGAGGGCTCGCGGGCGCTGAGCAGCAACACAGCAGCAGCAGCAGCAGCATTGGCGGAAGCCGCGCGGCCGCTGCAGCAGCAGCAGCAGCAGCAGCAGGGTTTGCTGCGGCTGGGGACTGCAGGCGACGGTCTGGGGGGCGGGCCTGCGCTGTCTGTACACTCCGTGAGGAGCCAGCGGCAGCGGCAGCGGGAATGTGTGACAATAGCGCACACGGCGCAGCAAGCAGCAGCAGCAGCAGCAGCAGCAGCAGAGACGGAGACGCGGGAGCTGCCGGACTACCTGACGAAGCCGGTGTCTGTACAGCTGGGGCTGGAGCCGGACCGCAGCCCCGCGGAGCAGAAGCAGCTGCAGCAGCTGCAGCAGCAGCTGCAGCAGCGGCTGAACCCGCAGCAGCAAAGAGCAGCAGAAGAGCGGCGGCAGCTGCAGCGTGTCCTGGGCTCCGCAGAAGAGGACTTTCAAGAGCCACAAAAGAGCTTAGCTGCTGCAGCAGCTTTCCCGCTGCTGCAGCAAGCAGCAGGAGGAGTTATAGGCAAGCCGGAGTTTCTGGAGGGCTGGGCGGAGCCTTTTCCCGTGTCTTTGGCTCTCGACATGAGCAGCAGCAGCAGCAGCAGCAGCAACGCCTTCTGCAACCCCGCCCTCGTCCCGCGCACCCCCCGCTACATCTCCTCCAGGTGGCTCCGAACCAAACCCTCCAAACCAGCAGCAGCAGCAGCAGCAGGAGCAGCAGCAGCAGCAGCGGAGCCAGGGAAGCAGCAGGCCAGCGGCGAGCCTCTGGGATTCACTGAGCTGATCACCTCCATGGCCCTCGAACGTAAGCCTGTCAAAAGCAGCAGCAGCAGCAGCAGCAGCAGCAGCAGCAGCAACGGCAGCAGCAACAGCAGCAGCAGCAGTAGTAGTAGTAGCGGGAGCTGAAGCAACAGGAACGGCAGCAGCAGCAGCAGCAGCAGTCGCAACGGCCGCAGAAGCAGACGCAACTGCGGAAGCAGCAGCAGCAGCAACAGCAGATACAGCAGCAGCAGCAGCAGCAGCAACAGCAGCAGCAGCAGCAGCAGGTAGCTGCTTGGGTTTGTCTGCAGCGATGGACCTGCCCGCCGTAGAGCCAAAGGGAAATGCTGCAGCGCCAGAAGTAAATAAATAAAATAAAAAAATCAATAAATAAATAAATAAATAAATAAATAAATAATAAATAAATAATAAATAAATAAATAAATAAATAAATAAATAAAAATAAATAAATGAATAAATAAATAAATAAATAATAAATAAATAAATAATAAATAAATAAATAAATAATAAATAAATAAATAAATAAAAATAAATAAATGAATAAATAATTAGAAGAGAATGGCGGCTAAGGGCCGGAAGGAAATCAAAGGAAGCAAATGCAATGAAGACCAGCAGAATCTCAAACAAATTGGACTCATCATGTTTTGCTGCTGCTGCTGCTGCTTCTGCTGCTGCTGCTGCTGCTGCTACTGCTGCTGCTGCAGGAAAATGGGACTCGAAGAGCTGGCGGGGGTCGCCGCATGAGGGTCGCTTCTGTCATTCCTCCTCCAAAAGACGAGAGTAAACCCTAAACCCTAAACCCTAAACCCTAAACCCTAAGTTATGTTGAGACGCTCACCTTGCCCTGCTGAAGTCTTCAGGACTAACTAGTTAGCCCGTCTTATTTGCTTCCTGAGCTTTGGGGTTTAGGGTTTACGGCTAAGGGTTTAGGGTTTAGGGTTTAGGGCTTAGGGTTTAGGGTTTAGGGTTTAGGGTTTAGGGTTTGGGGCTGTGTGCAGGCGAGAGTGCGCCGGTGGCGCCTCTGGTGCGGGTAATCCGCGTGGGCAAGACTAAACCCTTGGTGACAGAATTGGTGTTTGAAGATGCTGCTGCTGCTGCTGCTGCTGATGTTGATGCTGCATTTGTGAGGGAGAAAAAGCCATCCAAGGATATGGCTGTGCAGACAAATGCAGCAGAAAACAAACCAGAAGACACGAAAAAACCAGTGAGCTGCTGCTGCTGCTGCTGCTGGTGCCGCTGCTGCTGGTGGTGCTGCTCGTGCTGCTCGTGCTGCTCGTGCTGCTGCTGCTGGTGCTGCTGCTGGTGCTGCTGCTGCTGGTGCTGGTGCTGCTGGTGCTGCCGCTGCAGGTGCTGCTGCTGGTGCTGCTGCTGGTGCTGCTGGTGCCGCTGCTGGTGGCGCTGCTGCTGGTGCTGGTGCTGGTGTTGCTGCTGTTGCTGCTGCTGGTACTGCCGTTGCTGCTGCTGTTGCCACTGCTGCTGCTACTCCTGCTACTACTACAAGGGCTGTTGCTGGCCCTTGTGGTGCCACTCCTGCTGCTGCTGCCGCTGATGCCTGTTTGCAGAGCAAAGCTGCTCCGCGCAGCAGCAGCAGCAGCAGCAGCTGCAGCAGCGGCAGCGGCTGCAGCAGAGGCGACGGAATCTGGGACTCGAGCGCTTCTGTTTCCTCGCATTCCTTCAGCTCGAGCACAGACTTTTCTGAAGCAGAGCCAGGGTCACCTGCTGCAGCAGCAGCAGAAAGCGGCAGCAGCAGCAGCAGCAGCAGCGAGTCTCCCGACCCGCAGCAGCAAGAAATAGATAGCTGGCAGCAAGCCCTTGACAGCTACACCCAAACTTACCACCAGCCCCTTGCTGATGTGCTGCAGGGGCTGCCGCAGCGCTACCTGCCGCCGCTAGATCCTGCTGCTGTTGCTGCTGCTGCTGCTGCTGCTGGGGGCGTCGACGTTCTGGACGCCCTGGGGCGCGGCCGCGGCGCAGCAGCGCGGCTGCAGCAGCAGCTAGCAGCAAACCCTTATTTGTTTCTGCTGCAGGGAGACAGCAGCACGGGGATGTCAGCAGCAGCAAATAAGGAAGGATGCATTCCTTCTCTGTCGCTGCCTGCCTTGGGAGGCCCCGCAGCAGCAGCAGCAGCAGCAGATACGGGAGAACTTTTTGCTGCTGATAAAATCATTGAGGCCACCATGGTGCAGCTATTTGGGCCAAACTATAAAAATTATATGACTGGAGAAGATGCAGCAACACCGGTGCTAGACTTATCAGACGATGCTGCTGCTGCTGCTGCTGCTGCTGCTGCAGCAGCAGGGGATCCAGAGTTTCAGCAGCAGATGTACTGGACCTACCTCATGCAGATGCAGCAGCTGCAGCAACAGCAGCTGCAGCAGGCGCAACAACAGCAGCTGCAGCAAGTGCAGCAACAGCAGCTGCAGCAAATGCAGCAGCAGCAGCAGCAGCGAGAGAGCAAAGGAGAAGTCAGCGACAGCGCACACTCCTCAGCAGGCTCCTCAGGCAGCAGCAGCAGCGACAGTGATAACAGCAGCGGCGACAGTGCAAGCAGCAGCAGCAGCAGCAGCAGCAGCAGGTGGCGGAGGCAGCAGCAGCAGCTGCTGCCGGTGCTAGGGACTGTCGGCAGGCGGCAGCATCTGCCCTTGACGAGGGGCGGCAGCAGAACTCAAAAGGCCCGCTGCAGGGACCCAGCGGAGTAAACCCTAAGCCCTAAACCCTAAACCCTAAACCCTAAACCCTAAAGCCTGTGTTGATATGCTGGAGCAAAGCGTTGCGTGCTGTTTGGGTGTGAGAGCAGTGGCTGGAGCAGCTTGTGTGTGACTGCAGCAAGATCCGCGTTGGTGTTGCTGTTGCTGCTGCTGCTGCTGCTGCTGCTCCTGTTCATCTTGCTGCTGCTGCTCCTGCTGTCGTTTTATTTCAGCACGTATTCATCACTGGATGAAGAGGACGAGCGTTTGCTGCTGCAGTCGTCTGATTTGCTGCATCGGGCTGGCGAAGGAGGCCCTATGGGCCCCAGCAGCAGCGGCAGCAGCAGCAGCAGCAGCAGCAGGACGCGCAGCAGACGCAGCAGTAGACCCCTCAGGGGCAGGCGGGCCGCCCCCGCCAGACTCTTTGCTGGGAGATCTGCCAGGCGTTTGTCTGCTTTAGAAGTAAATAGAAGACTGGGGCTAAGAGCCTTGCCTGCTGCTGCTGCTGCTGCTGCTGCTGAGTACGGGGATTTCGACGAGGTGCTGCGGCCAGCAGCAACTGCAGCAGAAGCAGCAGCAGCAGAGCAGCAGCTGCGGCGGCGGCGCAACCGGCTGGACCGGCAAATAGGGAAGCTGCTGCAGTGTGCGCAGCAGGAAGAAGCAGACCAGCAGCAGCAGCAGCAGCAGCAGCCGCAGCAGCAGCAGCAGCAGCGAGTGAAGGCGCAGCTGGCCACTATGCTGGGAACCCGGAAGGCCCTAGCGCATGCACTTTCTTTAAAGTCCAAATTAGCAGCAGCAGATAAAATTTTAAATTTGAAAAGAACTGCTGGTTTCCTGACGGCTCTGCATCGGGAGAGCCTTTCCCCGCGGACGCTGCAGCAGCTCCAGCAGGAGCTGCAGCAGCAGCAGCAGCAGCAAGAAGGGGGATTCCCCAAAAGCACTTACGCCCGGGTCCCGAGCCCATCAGCAGACATCAGAGACAATTCTGCAGCAGCAAGTGTCCTTGAGCCCTTGGTGCATCTTAGCGCAGGTGAGGTGCTGCTGCTGCTGCTGCTGCTGCTGCTGCAATTGCTGCTGCAGCTGTTGTTCCTGCAGCGGGAGCTGGAGCTTGCAGAGATGCTTTTTGCTGCTGCATCAACCGGACCAAAGTAAAAGGCTCTTGCTTCATTGAAGCGCATCTGTGCTCCTGTTACTGCTGTTGTTTCTGCTGCTGCCGCTGCTGCTGCTGCTGCTGCCGTGGCCGCTGCTGCTGCTGCTGCTGCTGCTGCTGCTGCTCAGGCGGGGCCTCAAGGCTAAGGGCTGCCTCACCGAACTTCGGACATCCAGAGGAGAGCAGCAGCGGCAGCGAAGAGGCAGCAAAAGAGTTCCCAGAGGCAGCAGCAGGAGCAGCAGCAGCAGCAGCAGAGGCAGCAGCAGCAGCGTCACCAGATACAGTAGCAGAGGCAGCAGCAGCAGCAATAGCTGAAGAAACAGCAGCAGCTATTCCAGGAAGCGGCATCTGGCCGGACCTGCAGCAGCTGTCTCGCAGTTTGGGGATTTCTCTCCCGGCAGGCACGGGGAAGTCAGCAGCAGCAGCAGCAGCAGCAACAGCAGCAGCAGAAAGCATTGCTGAGGCGCTGCAGGAGCTGCACATACCTAAAGCTGCTGCAGCAAAGGCCTTCCCTTGGGAGGAGGAACCGATCCCAACTTTGCGCCCCCGCAGGAGACTTGAAGAGCTCAGTGCCCAGCAGCAGCAGCAGCAGCAGCAGCAGCAGCAGCAACAGCAGCAGCAGGTAGCCCCCACAGGAAGCACGTTTCCGTGGGAAGATGAACCGATCCCAACAGTGAAGGCTGGCCGCGGAACAGCGGCACCTACGGATCAGAAGCAGCAGCAACAGCAGCAGCAGCAACAGCAGCAGCAGCAGCAAAGACAAACTGCAGCAGCTGCTCAACCCCGCCCATTCCTCAGGAAAGGCTCTGGACTGGGAGGCGGCCAGTACGAGAAAGCTGCTGCTTACCCCACACGGCAACAACAGCAGTAACCAGCAGCAGCAGCAGCAGCGACAGCAGCAGCTGGAAGAGTAGCAGCAGCAGCAGGCAATCGCCGCAGTCAACTTTCTTTTCATATGACTTGGCACAAACATCGTGTAGACATGTGCCGGGAGGATAGGTGCTGCTGCTGCTGCTGCTGCTCCTTCTGCTGCCGTTGCTGCTCTTTGTGCTGCTGCTTGTGCTGCGGCTACTGCCGTTGATTCTGCTCCTGCAGCAGCAAATATGACCACACAGCTCTCTTCATTACAGGAGCACGTGAGTTCTGTTGCTGCTGCTGTCGCTGCTATTGTTGCTGCTGCTGCTGCTGTTGCTGCTGCTGTAGTTGCTGCTGCTGCCATTGCTAGCCCATCAATTGCTCTCAGCGGCAACAGCAGCAAAGCAGCAGCACTAGGCTGGTGACACTAAGCCCTAAATCCTAGCCTAGACCCTAAACCCTAAACCCTAAACCCTAAACCGTAAACCCTGAATGAGGACAAAAGAAGCCAAGCGGAGTCGAAAACGAACCAAGGGGAGAATCTGGCACCACTCGCCAGATCTCTTGCTGCAGCAGCAGCAGCAGCTGGAGCTGCTGCTGTTGTTGCTGTTCACGCAGCTGCAGCGGCAGTAGCTCCTGCAACTCCCGCTGGTGCTGTTTGTGGGCAGCAGCAGCTGCTGCTGCAGCAGCAGCTGCGGCTGCTGCTGCAGCAGCCATTCGTGCTGCTTTAAAACGCTGGAGAGCAGCAGCAGCCGCAGCTGCTGCAGCAGGCTCTAAGGCCTTTCTGAAACGCGCGCGCGCCGCAGCCCCCGCCGCAGCAGCTGCAGCAGCAGCAGCAACTGCAGCAGCAGCAGCAGCAGCAGCAGCGTGGGTTTACAAGTTGGTGAGGGCTTTGCAAATGGCAAGAGTGATGTCCTGCATTTGTTGATTT